CATGAGGGGAGCATACTTCCCAGTCCCTTTGAAGTTACATGAAATGAGAGTCGAAATAACATGTGTAACTTCTTCATGGAAGAGTCAGTGTGCAATTAGCCACCTTCCTTTCTCTCTACTATGCTGAAGATAGAAGCATGTGTTAGGGTAAAGTCTTCATTTCAATGTATTTTGCTTTTTCAGTGCCCAATAATAGAAACATAAAAATGTGTAATCCTATTTGTCTTAGGTACGACTCCAGCAATAACTAAACTATCTTAAAAGAGTCCCTGTGGGGGTAATGGTACTGACCTAAGTAGCTTATGGTGAGTGAATTTTCATTTCAAAAGGAACTGCACAATAAGCATGGAATTCTAGCTGTTAAACTTGTTTCCCACTGGGGCATGGGTTAACAATCCTGATTCTGGAATACACATATAGTGGAACTGAATGATTAATTAAATGAATGGGGAGAGTGGAAGCAAGGTTTATCATTGTAGGGTTGGGAATTTACAGATAAGCAAGGCGAGGGGGCTAGATAAAAATGCTTACTTGAAATAGATATAGAAATGGGTGTGTGTATACATGAACTAGCATACACACTTATATTCATTTGTTCTCTTAGCAAGAGGACCTAAAAGAAATATCCCATTAGCAATGAGCACACCTAGCACTCAGAACTCGGTTTCTAGTATCAATCTCCAGGGTAAGGAACCAGGACTTCTTGGGAGAAATACGATTCTAACACAGGGAGAGGAAATACACAAGATGAGCCAGGAGCATCGTATATTCTTGTAGTCTCAAAAAGCAGAGAAGTGTTCAAAAAATAAAAATAACAAAAACTAAAAACCTACATTGTTAGGGTATGTCAAAGGGACACAGGAGGCAACTGAGATCCCAATGGCCAAAGCTGAAACAATATGAGCAACAAAATAAAAAAGTAGTATTATAATCCTAAGTATAACATAAATATCTAACAAAATAAATTCATCTAGAGAATGTAAATAAATTATGGAAATATTCTACCCTTAAGTGTGTGGTGTACATAGTGACTTCTTTCCAAAGAGCGCAGTATGTAAAGTGGGGAGACTATCATTTTACAGTGGAAAACCAGGAAGGTGATCAAGGTTAACAATAGTCACAGATCATTTTGACAGCATAAGATGGTATAATGGAAGAGGTACTTTATGCCTGTGTTCGTTCTCCAAAAAACCCCCACCATTAAACATCAGAAAAATCCCAATAGAGGGACATCCTATGAGGTATCTGACTAGTATTGCTCAAAACTCTCAAGGTCATCAAAAGGAATCTAAAGGAGCATGACAACTAAATATATTGTGGTATGGTGAATGGGATCCTGGAACAAAAAAGAAACAAAACATTAGGTAGGAAGTAAGGAATCCTGAATAAACTATGGACTTTAGTTCATTAATTGTAACAAAGGTATCATACTAATGTAAGATATTAATAAAATAGAAACTGGGTGCTAGGTATATGAGATTGTTTCTGCACAATCTGCTCAATTTTCTAAAAAATAAAGTCTATTAATAATGTCTTTAAAGGAAATGTGCTCTAATGATACCATGAAACCACCTTACCCAGTATGAGAGATGGATTGCTAGCCTTTTAAATTTTAATTGGTTGTGCATTTTTGTTTCATAAGAAGCAAAATGTTGCATATATTGACTACCTATAGTTGAAGCTATTTTTAGCTCTCTACTTCTAGTGCATACCAGCTTTTCTTGACAAATTTGAGAACGAAACTGCTATATATACTAGTGATCACATGAGGAAATAAACCCCATGTTCTAAAATAGTTAAAAATTAACTTTTATAAAAGTATCCTCTTTAAGGTAGTTGTTGACTATCCATACACTAATTATTACTTGGCAACACCAAATTTTCTCATTTATATGGCCAGGTGAAATTCTTTGATGTATTTAAAAAAATTTCCACTATTTTGAGGACCACATTGTGTATTTAAACCCTTAAAAATTTCCTAGAATATATGCAATCATATTTTCATTGCTGACTTTTAATTTATCTTTTATGAAGATTGCATGAGCCTCTTTTTGAAATGTAATGATAATCTATCAAACAAATATAATGGACTTTGATCTAGGAATTTTTATAGTATCAACCAATTAAATTTTTCTTTTATCTGCACACTTTTATTATGTGTGGGAATATTTTACTATACAAAATTATAAATTGCAGTAGTATGAGTAATTTTGTTTAAAGAGCTTCTCTTATAGTATAAATACACTAATTCTTTGTGTAATCATATTACAGAAACAGCAAGAGCATGTTCTATAGTAAGTAAACTATTCTGAATTACCATGTGAATGTTGGATAAAATATCAGGGCCTCGAGATCTTATACTATATAACAGGATGAGTTAATTAATTCACTTGAGCAAATATTTTATTTAAAAATTCAGGTTATGTTTTGAAAAAATTTGCCTAATATTTTATTTGTTTTGATTTCCATCTCCCACCTGAATAAAGATCTCAGATGCACTACTTACATTGAATGAACAAAATATATTAGAGGATGGCCTAGAATAAATAATTCTATAGTCTCCATCTAGAAGTTTTGTTGTCCAAGCATCTGAATTTGCTTTTCTTATTTTTAAGTTGTCTTAATCCATGAAATTCTTCATTCTGCAAATATCTATTTTATTACTTGTATTTTTTCTAATGTTTTGTGTATATTATTCCTTTTGGCTCCATTAATTTTTTAAATTAAACACACAAAATTTTAATGTTGAATATATTATTTTATATTCAATATTTAATAGTGAATATCTTATAAGAAGAATGGTCTTACATTCCTGTCTGTTCTCGCTCTTCTTGCCTCTTTTCTTTCTGCTGGAGTGTTCATTATAAGAGCAGGGATGGGAATAGTAAATTATAAAAATACAAAGGTTATTAAAGTGTTTCTTTTAACTCCTCGATCCTTTATAAATAAAGTGACATATGTGTTAGACAAATAGACCAAAACCCTAAAAGAAATCAGACAATAATTTTTGACATCTTGAAATTAAGAAAAACAAAAAGATTAATATTAAAGCAATCAACTTAGTGAATTTATCTTTGTAACTTTTGATATATTATATAAAATATAAAGTTAAGATATTCATCTAATATATGTTTAGGTATTTATTTTATATGACTTGAGGGGAGATTCACTTATACTTCTTGTCAGAAAAAAATGTCAAAAAATTGTAAATGGGCAAAAGAGATGACTGCAACCTTGAATGGCATCCAGGGATGGATTGTCAAGTGCCTCCTTGGCATTTTCTAATTCTATAGGGATGTATATCTTTGACTGACTTTGATTGACTAGTCCATTTTACAACTCTGTAGAAATAGAAATTAATTTATAGAAAACATTGTAATGCAAATGTTTTTACCTGTAGTAATGCAAATGAATTTTGTCCAGTAGAAGGGAAAAAATTTGACGGTCAAATTTTCGTTGCTTTTTAACTCTACAGTTTTCCTCATTAAAAAATAAGTTTGATAAAATCTTTGACACATGGTCATTTAATATGTGTGTAAAAGTCATGTTTATACATTTTTCACAATTATAAAATTTCTACCTGAAAGAAGTTGACTATAAAGAATATTATTATTCTTTAAACAAAAGAAGATAAAATAGAATTTGTGATGTCTCATCATATACAAATGACTATTTGGCATCCAAATTTCCTGTATTGCTGCAAAATCTTCAAAAGCAATGTTTTTGATATCATATGTTCTGTGGAAAACTGGTCTTCAAAATCGTGGAAGCCAAACGCTGCTGTAACTGGAGCTGGGTGAGAGTTCCTCTCAGCCACTTCCCAGCGAGGACTCCCTGCGGAGCTTCCTCTGAGGTTTAAAGGAAAAGTCACCATGCTTGAGCCAAGAGATGGTCAAGTACAAGGTTAGTATCTTAGCGATTTCTGATACTATCTAAAATTGAAAGAGTACACAGAACTGGAGAATGAGAGGGTGGTTGGCATCAGGTTCATCTAAGAATTTTCTTCAAATATACCATTGTCTCAGTTGAAATATTTATTATATGATACAATGAATACTTCTATTTCATATTTCTTTCTCATATTTTAAACAAGTGTATAATTGGGAGACATCAAATTTGCTTTCAGAGAGTCAATGATGTTCAAATTATTGTATCAAAAAGCTTATTTTGTCTTCAAGAACTCTTTGAGAATTGTTAAAAATATTAAACTCTCTTGACAGTAATATAATACTTTACATCTGTGCTTTCACTTAGAAAGTGTTGCAAAAAATGTAATTTGTCACTTTAGTCAAGACATTTATTTCACTGTGATGTGTAAATATTTCTGAATAGGCATCACTGAAAGCATTCACAAAGAAAGCCATCCGATGTTTTTGGTGACATATTTAAAGCTTTGAATATGATGAAGGGGACTACAAAACTGACTCAAATAAAATACACATAAAACTTAAAAAGAATGCTAAATTAGGAGGCATGATCTAAAATTAGGAAACTAGCAAAAAGTATAAGGTGATGGAAAACATAAAATATTCAAAAATCAAATTAGATAATCGTCTGTATAGACTGCATTGAGAAGTGGAAATATGTTTAATTCAGATATTGACATTTAAAACAAAGAGGCATTTTCTTAATATCTGGAACATTTCATCTAATAAGTGAAGTAATGGAAGTGTAGAGTAGATTCAGAGTCAAAGGCAGAATATAAGTAATATTTAGTATAATGGCCTTACACACCTCTTTCCATAAGTATTGATGGTATTTTTTTCTTTGATCCTGCCTCTTGCTATTAATATGCTATTAATACTTACAAAAGATCTTAGCCTACCTGTTTTAGACAATTTCGATTTAATTCTATCACACCTTTAGTCATGTAAAGAAAATATGCCCGGTTATAAGCGAACATAGCATTTTTCTTAAGGCAAATTCTTTTTTGTTGTTGTTGTTGTTACATAAATTAACCCATTTATCATTGGCAAGCAATGTTTCAAATTGTAGAGCTTCTACTGGTCTTTCAATTCCTTCAGTCTTCTGATGGCAGACTTCCCTGTGGCAGCAGAAGCGGTGTTGAAAGTCCAGGCACCACCAGCTACTGTTTTCATGCAGCAATGAACTCTTCTCTTCATCTTGGTTTTGCCACAGAAGGAGCAAGTGTACATGGCGTGCTGGCTGATTTCAATTTTCTTCACCATTTTCCTGAGGGAGGTGCCATAACGGTTCCCATATTTACTGAGGATTCTGACCTCTTGGTGCATTTAGCCATGTTGCCACAAACTATTCTTCAAGAAATATAAGAATCACGTTACATTTCCTTCATCATGCACAAGGGTAATATTATAACCCAAATGAAAAAGCTCCAAATGTTCATACAATTTCTTCCTATCCAAGTACAATCGTATTCCATTCTCCTCAGAGTTTCTGATGGGCTTAGACCAAGTTTAAAAATATCAGGACAACGAATTACTTGTTGAGAGGAGAATTTCAAATATATCGTCATGACAGAAACAGACTGAAGCCACATTTTGAGTAACACAAAAAGAAATGCCACAACTCCTAATTCTACAGAATTCCATTTATTTCAGAAGAATACATTCTTATTTTAATATTTTGGTGTCATCCACTTAAAATGTATCTGGCTACATATTCTTCATATAGCCTCTCCCACCATCCCTTTAAAATGATTGTAATGAATAGGTCAACATTAAAGCATGCAGTAACAGAGAATTAAAACAAAAATTAACTGGAACCATTTCTCAATTTACAGCCTTCCAGTTACTTCCCATTGGACATAAAATAAATCCCAGTTTCAAATAGGGATGACGAGGTCATTGAAAACCAGGTTCCCGTTTTGGCCTTGAACCTCAGCTCATGAAACTCTCCACCCGCTGGTTTGGAAGCTCTCTCATCCCCCAGCCCTTGGCACTACCGTCTCCTCTGCCTGAGGGACTGACTTCCTATTCCTTTACATGTTTGGCTTTAAAAAAAATAATAAAATTTGAATCTCAGAACAATTTTGGACTTTTTAAATGAAATGTTTATTTTTTTAATTGATTTTAGAGAGAGAGGAAGGCATTCTGTAACTGCTGTTTTACATACGCAGACTTGGTACTGCATTTTCTCTCTCTTCAGAGACCTGTATCTTTATTTGCTATGGTGTTGTACGCTTGTGTGTTGTTTCTTTTCAAATGTTGCAGACCTTTGTGGCAAGTATGCCTATAAGGTGAGTTTTCTTAGGCCACAATCAATAGTTGCTACCACATTCTTTTAAAGATCAAATTTACCGGCAGTATTTTAAAGTAAGAAAATTTCAGATAATAATCCTGATTTCTGACTTCACTAAATCCCACCCCCTCTAGAATCTCACACCACTGGCCTGGCAGTTCTCATAGACTAACTTGATAGAATTGAATGGTGGCGGTATCTATGAAGGAGCCAGTGCCTTCCAATCCCTAATAGATCTTCCACTTTTTCTTTTATCTCTGAAATTGTTGACTTCTCTCCTCTGTGGCCTCTTTGTATGAATAAGGACTTGCGCATCTCACCTTAGGTTTATCCACGCATTGTTTGTGTCACCACAATCTCCTTGAAGGCAAAACATTGTCTTTTTCATCATTGTAGTATTACATTTTATTCAGTGGTGTGCATACCATGGCTTACACTCACTCTATAAATGTTTTCAGGGAACAAATGAATGATGGAATTAATATTCTGTCAGAATATAAGAATAATTTGCACTTAATCCTAGAATTGGCATTAAAGCTCATGATTAAAGTGTGCTATTCTGATAAAACTAATCAAACTTGCCCTTCTGAAGTTATTTAGAATGATTATTAACCCTGTTCCCAGCTATACTCTTTCTCTTCCCTTATCTATAAATGGCTTTTCTAAACAAAAAAAAAATATCCTATCCATTCCTTTCGTTTATAATCTGTTTATTTTATTCTTTATTTTTAAGACAAATGGGATTCCTTTATGCCGCTTCCACAGTATTTTTCTTCTAGCTGTTCACATTATCAAGAAACTAGATTTCCTATTAAAAAAAGATAGATTGAGTTCAGCATTAGGGAAAGCCAATGAAACATGAAAAATCAGTTAGAAATATTTCACTTATATTACCCTACACTGTAGTACTAAACACGAAGTTGCCCATACATAAAGTGGCACCAAGACCAACCCACAAGTGCTGGCTCTTGATAAAACCAACTAGGCCTGGAGATATTTCTCTTAATTCAAGGGTAAGATAGAAAATTAAAACAAAGTATTTCATTCACTCGACAAATATTCAATTAGCATCTACCCTGTGCCAGGCACTGTCCTATGCATTTAGGAAGCAAAGGTGAACAAGGAATACATGCCCTTTGCTCTTGTGAATCTTAAGCAACAATAAATGCTTTATGAAAACTTATAAGGAGAGATGTGAAAAGCCATCCTTAAGCCTCATTTCCGGAAGAGCATGAGTGTGGACATGACATGAACATGGTTAAAGTAGATGATCCAAAACATGTCAATGATGTCTTTTGCATGGTACAAGAAGACACAGATGCCCCTAACAATCGCAGCAAAAACTAATAAGGAAACGTACAGTCAGTATATTATAGTAAAACAGAAAAAAAAGAAGCAAAAGCATAATAATAACGATGATGATGATGATGATGATGATGTAACTGATTGGAGAGCAATTTAAAGACCGTAACAGACTTAGAACTATAGATATAATGGCACATCCATTTGGAAAATGAAATAAAAATTGAAGAGGCTGGGGTTGTGAAGATCAGTTCAGGTGTCATCTATGGTACCTGGATGAAGATAAATGACAGTACAGATGACAGTAATGGGGGGTCAGAGGGACCCAACTCATGTGCTGAGAAGTCAATGAGCAGATGAAAAGGCTAAGACTTCGTATTTGAAGATGAGGTGACTGGAGATGCCATTAACAGAGACGGGGATCAGCACAAGGGAGGGTGGTTGGCAGAGTATTATTGGCATTCTTTCCACACAGTTCACATGTTTAATGAGTTTGGGGCTCAGTAATCTAGCTAATCTAGTTGGAAAACACAGTTCTAAAACTCAAGAGAGAAATATAAGCTATAGATTAAAATTTTAGTTATTCTTCATAGAATAAGATTGTATAAATAAAGGAAACATGCTGACAGAGAATAAAACAAGAACCTCTGCTTCTAAAATGTTGTTTTCCATAACAGATTACAATTCAAATTTTTTTGCATAAGTTAAGTGAGTCACCATTCTCCTGGCTTTAGGTACCTCCCCAGTCCTTTTCCCCATCAGTCACTGCCCATCTGTTTTCAATTTTTAATAAGAAACATTCCATATTTCTACACATGCCTTCTGCTGTGTGATCCTTATCTGTCATTATCCTTTTTCTTCAACCTGGAATGATTTATCTATACTGTATTGCTGTGAACTATGATTAGGCCTTTAAGTTTAACTCAGATGTGGTTCCTGCAGAAATATTTTCCCGAGCTCCTGGATTAGACCAAGGCCTGTTCATCAGTGTTCCAACAGTACCTGTGATTAGTTTTTCTCTGAGCATCTACCAGGGCATATTTACAATATATAAATATAAGAACTATGCTCCATTTATTGTTTTGCCACCAGTAATTACTAAATTACCTGGTACATATAAGGTATTCAAATGCCTCTTAAACTTCACTTTAGAAAGAATATGAGAAGGAAATAATGAGAGTGACAATGTTTAATATGTATGGATACATCTGAGCAGATTACCAATTAATTCAGCCATTACAGATAATTTGAAGTATACAGATAAGCACAAAAAAAGAGTGCATATCACTGGTCAGTCTTCCTCCCAGAGAAGATGGCTGTCAATGATTCCATGTTTGCAGGCATTTTGTTCTTCACACACTCATGTACGTACAAATATTATTAAATTAAGACCCTAATGCTGTGTCATTTGCCTTAAAAATTCGTCTTATGTTGCAATATATCATAAATATTTCTCCTACAAAATAAGTTATAACTAACATATTGTATTCCACTGTAATCTCTTGCCATATTTTCTTCCACTAAATACTTGTTCTTGTTATTTAAATTTAATTAAACAAATCTGTTTAATTTTTTTTATTATTAAGAATTCTGGGTAGATAGCTTCAAAATTAAAATTCATGATATAACTGTGATAATTTAATACTAATAAATTGATAGAGGAGTGAATGTTCAATTAGGATGCACATTTTAAGGATTAATATATCTTGAAAATTTCTCACCTGCAGAGGAGTCCCAATTTAGACTATATATAGTCAGTGCATGAACATATAAATATATGTATGCATCCTGTCCTCTACAAATATGGATACCAAATGTGGATTTTTATTTTTTCACTCATAGGAAAAATATGACATCTAATAGCATCAGTTTAATAATTATGTTGATTACCAGAGCAATGGAATATCAAATATCAAATATTCTATTTGATTTGGAAATTTGTACACTTTTTGACCATTCTCTCCTAGAGTTCATAAATTTATACTTTTATAGACATTTATATAAAGTAATTATATTAACTTTTATTTGGGATGTACTGAAATCCTGTTTATATTTTTACTTAGAAGTACATCTTTTGATGATTCCAATGTCAGTCTCTGAGAAGCCCTGCAATAGAGAATTTCATGTACGTTGACTTAAACATGTTTTCTAAGTTTATTCTGCTGTTGGACATTTGTTATATTAATATATGTAATATGTGATGGAATGAATGTGAATACCTTATGATATGATTTTTAAGTATATGTAGACATTATGTGTAAGAAATTATAAATGTAAAGAATAGCCATTAAGACAATTGTCAGAGAGAGAGAAGAAAATAGAAGAAAGTAGTCTCTGGAAATAAGCAGAGGAGATAATTTGCAGGAAAATGTATGCTCAAAAGGATCAAATATTCTAGATAGGTTAGAGAAGATGGAAATGGAACGAGGTCACTGGAGTAGGAACAGAGAGCTCTCATTTTATTTTCATTAACAGTAAATTATAAATAATTACGAAGGTCTTTTTATCATTAAAATTCCTACTAGTAAAATAAAGTAGTAGAGATTTTAGATCTACATAAATCATTTTTGTTTTTATTCAAAAATGTTATGAAAAATATATTTGAAAAGCTTCCCTGAAACTATCTTGACGACACTGATAAATAACTCACAGTGTGAATAATATTATACCTCTCAGGAAAAAGATTCTTTTCTATTACCCACTACTGATAGGCTTTTTTTTTTCTTTAATTCTTTGGGAGTTCCTCAGGGTAATATATTGGTATATATGTAAAATGTAACCCAACTAAAGTGTTTAAAATGTTTGAATAAATCATAAACTTCGAATACTATGTCCTTAAATGAGAATTCAACTGAACAGCAGAAAGATAACCAAGAATTTTCCTAAAGTATTTTGCACTTTAGAAGGTGGTTGTTTTGTTTCCGTCTTACTTGAGATAGAGATGGGATTAATAATATAAGCACAAAAGTGTCAAAATGTAAATTCAGAAAAAAATGCATATTTTAAAACATTTCTTTGGGTATCTATAATGAATAATATCCAGAGACAGCACCACAGGAAAACCTCATTGGTTTCTTTGAAATATGAAAGTAGGACTTGGGGCCTAGAAGCAATGCAAACACAGAGCCTTGCATACTTGGGCAGGTGCCTTCAATGTGACGGTAAGGTTTTTAAGACTTCAAGACCTTTTTATTCATGGTTTCTAACACACCAACATAAATATTTTGGTGCATTTTAAAAACAAAGGACATTCAGGACTTTTTAAATGATCTTAAATCAGTGAAAATAATACCAGTGTTGATCTATTTTGTCATCTGGTTGATTCTCTTAAGAATAGCAATACAGTATTCTCTTTAATTGAGCGCTTCGGATATTATATTATACCATAGAATATAAATAACAAAACTAGTATGTGGATGGTGGTTAATATGTTTTTGAGCATCCATATGTATGTTTATTTGTGTGTGTGAGACAGAGAAACAGAGAGAGATACAAATAGCTACAAATCCTATTGCAAAGGAAAAACTTGATATGCCTATGGAAACCTTAACTGTTTAGAGTAAGAGAATTATATCTTTTAAAAAAAATTATCTTTATTGTTGAAAGTATTAAAGATGTCCCCTTTCCTCCCCTCCCCCACTGATTCCCTCCACCCTGAATCCTCCCTCCACCCCCTTGGTGCCTTCTCCACATTATTGTCTGTGTTCATGGGTTATGCATATATGCATACAAGTTCTTTGATGTCTCTTAATCACATCTACAAAGTAAAGTTTTAACTCAGTAAACTCTACAACAAAAACCAAGCTTTAAAGTTGAATATAGTTTCAGAATCTTATTGAAGAATCCAACATAAAATAGAAGATGAATGTATTGACATTCGTCCTTCTCTGATATGTCAAGACCATACCTCTTTCCAATTTCTAATACATTTTTATGTGCTTTAGAACAGAACACTCTAGAATATGTGGCTTCTTGATACACTGATTCACTTTTTCTTTGATTTCATTTTAATTTGTATATAATTAAATAACAAAGTTAGAAAGTAAAATGATTGAAAGACCTCTAAGAGAAAGAGTGCGCCTGTTTCAACTATTTTCCTTCCTGATTCTTACTTTTCAGAGGCAGATTCTTTCCATTATTTTTTATTTTTTATCCCTGGTATATAGCTTCATAATTCTAAGTGATGTGTTCATATTAATGTTTCATAATTTTGCTAATTGTTCACATTATGCACTGACATCTATGCCAAGTAATGTCCAGCTACATAGTTTTCTATTGTTTGGGCTCATTTCCTTATTCAGCTTGAAATAACATAATTAGATTTTTTTTACAATAGGTTCTAATTTGATTTCCCATTTTATTCCTAACTTCTACTTAATTATTCACAAATTATTATTCATTATTCCTCTGAGAATTTATTATCATTAAATCATCACAATTATGTGATTGATATTTAATTTTGAGGCTGTTTACTCAGCATTCCTAATAATAATTAAAAAAATTTAAAAATCTAATGTCCAAAAATAAGTAACTGGTAAAATGAATTATGGCATATTATATTATAGTACATTTGTTGAGATTTACTTTTAGAAAAATATCTGTAATATATTGTAACACTTAAGCATTTTAAGTGAAAGTTGCAGTATTAAGCTAATATTCTCTGTTGCTCTATCAATTAAGAAAATGAAAAACATAGTTCATGTGATTTCCCCAAATCTTACTCAAAATGTTTAATGCGCTTTTAGTTGGACCACACACCTTGGTGGGAAGAGAAGATCAAAGGAAGTAGCTGTGGATGCAATTAAGGTCACATTTTTAGCTTTTATCTTTCCCTCCACCTGGTCTTGACAGATATCCAATCTCCCCAAAACTAGTTCTGGTAGTTTTTTCATAGAATTTTATGATGCTAATCAGTTAATCCTCTGAGATGCAATGTGACAAGAGCCATTTGCTTTTGCCTTTGCAGGGACAGTGGCTGTGGCAATTCTTCTGACTGAGAGTCCTCCAAAGCCCCTCAGTGCCAGTGGCCACCAGTGCCAGGCCCAGGTGCTCTCTTCTGATGCTCCTAAAGTAGCTACCTTGTCTCCTGCTCTTTGTTCTGTTTCCTTTCCCACAAAGTCCTTGAACAATGGTTTATGTCATTTCCCAATTGGTTCTGATAATTTACTATTGTTCTAGACAGAATAATATGGTGCTGGAATATTCATTACAACAAATCCACACTTCTCTTTAGGCTTAAGCCAAAGGACTGCCTGGTTCCCTCTGCTGTGTTTGTTCAGATCAGTAAGTAGCAAATCAAACACCAAATTTGTTTTATGTTGTTTCCTACCTGAATTGTTCTGTGGTTTAATTTAGATGTTTCTATGAGTGAACATTTTTTTATACTGCTTGACACTTGGTGTGCTTTCACCAGGAATATTGCATTTTCTTAATACTGGAAAGCTCTCAGTGATCATATTTGATTATCACTTTCTTCTTTTATTCTTAGTTTTAGAAATGTATTTTAGAACTACTAGATGCCTTTTAATTTAACCTTGTTGTCTCAAAACTTTATTTTGTATTGTTCATATGTTTATCTCTGCGATACTTTCTTCATCAAATATTCAATACTAACTTTTAAGTCTGTAATTCTTTTATTTCTTCTTTTCAGTAGAAAATACACCATGTTTTAAGTCATTAAATTTTATAAATCAATTATTATAAAAAATACACATGTATACATTTGTAATGAGTTAGTTTTTATGTCTATATGTCCTTAT